ACAGATTAGTCAGTACAATTTTCTCGGTTGCACTGGCAGAACAGAGCAGTCGACTTTGATTAGTCACTACAGATGACTCACTTAGAATTAAAAGGTTCATGATACACCATTATAAAATTACAGATGTCTAGCTTCAAATGCTGCTAACGGCACCTGATTTTGACACCTGAGCAAAGAGTTATCATCGTTCAAATTTTACTGCCAGAGAGCCCCTGTTATACGATTTTCCGGTTTCATTCATACCAAAACTCTGTTTTTCTTCAACCAAATCAAGTGATTTTTGGTGGAAACATTCCACACATCCTATATAACATATTTATATTAGATTCAAAGTCATTTGATAACCAAAAATTCGAATCAAAGCTTTGGCAAAAATAGGGCAGAATTGGTCAACAACCAACTGAAATTTTCCTCAACTTTCCTTTCAATTTTCCAACTAATCTCACCTTGTTTATCACTTAATTAACACAAACCACACTTAGAATCACCATATCAGTCCAATATATCCATTGTGGGATTTCATAGAGTCCACTCCAATCATTTACAACCAAATAACAACACCCACATGAAGCTACAAGCTCCAAGGCCAAATTTTACGAACTAGAACTAAGATTATGGGACCGAATGATTACCTCCTAATTCTTGATGAAAAATGAGAAATTTTGGTCACCAAAAGCTCCAAGAAACTCGGCTAGAAGACCTCCTCCTCCAAGCCAAGGTGAATCTCCAAGTAGTTTAGGTGTTGTATGAAGATTTGTGGAAGATTTGGAAGCAAGATTGGAAACAAATGAAGAGAGCTTTGCTTCTCTTCTTCCTTGGGGTTGCTGGTCAGCTGATACTAGGAGGAAGAAAGAGTATTTTGTACTTTGAATCTTGTCTTAGAAGCTTACCAGAATTGTGGCCCAAAAGCTTTACCAAAGTCAACTCTTAATAGTACGTGTACGCGCGCGTTTCGTGCCCGTTTCCTCTCGGGTTTGTTCCACTTGTGCACTAAACCTCCAAATGTAATTCCTTGAACACTATAATTATTCACTCACCATTTAAACCCCTTACCGGGCCAGAACTCCGAGATAAACGCTGGTGGTAATACTCGAGCATACCGATTAGTCGAGAAGATAACACTCCACTCGACAAACTAGAGACCCATGGTTCATTATCTAAACGTCCAAGCCCTTGTCGGCTTGACTCGATTAACTGGCTAGTGGGGTTTGGGTTCCCAAGTAGTCAGTATAGTTGATGATCAATCGACTTAATCAAGAGAAAAGTACGGAGACAGAATGAGAGGCACCTCCCACTCGGATTGAGTGTGGTATATGCTGCAGCTCAGCACTTATAAGTCAATCATAAATACAAATACAAGTACAGGTCAATCAGATTCGAGCAAGTATAAGATCATTCAAGAAGGGGAGGACGAGTGCGAATAAGGACACACTCACCTATGAAATGTCAAATCAGGTATTTAGTAAATTTCTAGCAACAATGAGCAAGTAACATGCAGTTGGAACACTCACCAATATAAGCAAGAGATATGTCAAAAGTTTCCTTCCGAGTTGTACTCCAGATCACCAAACAAATCTAGATCAGTCAAAATATCAAAATCTAGATGAACCATCAAAAATCCAGAAATTACTAGTGCAAATATGAAAATACAGTTTTAGAGTGAATAATAACATTTAAGCTTCCAAGTCATGAAAATCTTGAGTCATTTCTCAAATTCAAATATAACGAAAGAAAATTCCAAAAATTAGTAGTTGAAAGAACAACCAATCTCAAATTGAAGTGAGAAAATATAATTCAAAATTTTCGAGATAAAACTAACACTTTTCATTTTAGTTGATACCAAATCTTGGTCAAAAACAACTCATATACTACTATTGAAGTGCATTCACAGATACATATGTAACTTAAGATCCAACTAACTCAAAATCAAATCTTGTATCTTACTAATATTCATAAGAACAAGTAATAGAAATTTGGGCAACATTTCCCCTATTTCTAACTTTTCCCATCCAAGTACAACTTAGATTCACAAGCCAACAAACCTCCAATCCAACCACAAGTGATAACCAGTAACACACATCTATTCAAGGCCTCAACCAACCAAACAAACCAAATAATAAACTTATCACAATAGATATCAAAGCTGGAAACCAGTTTAAAGAAGAAATTATAAGTGGCAGATTTGTCATCCTTCAGTGTTTTGTCATAACTGTAACTAAGTATATCGGATCGAGGTAAATTTTATGGCATTTCTAAGCTAAGACATAGACCTACATTTCCTATGTGGACATCGACACCCAGTTCTCGCATTTTTAGGGTCAAAAATGGATAGTCAGAAGCACATGAAAAATAGTTCAGGAAAATTAGAGTGTTTGCGCAGTCTGGAGTGCTCTGGCCAAATCATAAGCTAAAATGATCCAATTGATCTGAAATTTTGCAGGTAGAAAGTTAACTCAAATCCCTATAACTTTCATGCTTTGTCCAAAAGCTGATTCAGTCTAAAACATGGAGAAATTCGCAGCCCAAGTTGGCCTAAATTAATTCCAAAAACAGGGCAAAACTGAAACTCACCACCAAATGTTGGAAATTCAACTTTTAAGGCTAAAAATCACAATCAAGCCACTAATCATCTCACAAATTTCATATCCAAACTCAATACCAACATTGGCTAGTTAAACAACATAATCATGGCTAGAAAATATAAAACCCTAGCTGAAATTTTCACTACACCACCAAAAATTAGAAAATCATTCATCATATGCCGAGATTACAAGCTTCTATACCATATTTAGTAAGATTAAGAAAGAGAAAGGGAGTGGATCATCTTATACCTTCCAATACTTGTTGCTAAGTGAAGAACCAACCACTTTCTCCCAAGAGTTCCACCACTCCTAGCTTCCTAAGCACCAAGATGAAACTTTAATCGGTTTAGTTTTGTTGATTTCACTCAAACAAGGCTTGATTCAAGGTTGGAAATGGAAAGTTTTCTTCACTCTTTTTTTTCTCTTTTGTTCTCGGCCAACCAAGAAGAAATGGAGAAGAAAGTGAGCCAAATTGAAGATAAGAAGGAAAGAAAATTTGCTTGGTCAAAGCTAGTTGATTTCTACCAAATGTCACACTATGGTTCCATCTCTTTTTTTTTTTCTTTTCTCTCTTTTCTTGGGTCAATAATTTCGGCTGCTAGGGGGATATTTTGAGGCTGATTTTGCTGAAATAAAAGTAAGGAAATTAGGGTAATGAAGTAGTGTTCAAGTGATATACTCAATCGGTAGCAAACGGTGCACGTTGGTTTAAGCCGATTTTCCTTAACTCTCGCGTACTGTGTTTTAACTTATGATTCACCAACTTATTAATAGCACTTCTAATCACACACTTTCTCTTATCTAAAACTTACTATTAACCACCAAATTTAGTACACACACCTCACCAATTAATCACACTACCAAAATACGCAAAAACCCTATTTTACCATAACTATGAAACTAAAGGTAAAACTTTTAATTCTATTATTTATTACAACTATGGAGGGAGTAAATAAGTAGTAAAAGGAATTTATAAATTAATTTATTCAAAATAAGAGAATTATAAGAAAAATATAGGTGAATTTCCAAGTCCTCACAAATAGGACTTAAAGCCAAAAATAAACCCAAGTCAATGATGAACAATACTATTGAATAGCAGTTGGTGAATAGTGATCACGTGAACAATAGCGCAATGTGCAGTACTCTGTGAATAGGAATTGCATGAACAATACTCGCGTGAATAGCAATGAATAGTAATCGCATGAATAGGACTTGTTAAATATGTAACCCTAAACCTAGGATAAACTTTCTTCTTGGTATAGCTGTAATGCCATGATAATATGTGTTTGAGAGAAAACATATCATTGGAGTGACCTACTGATATTTATAAGAGTATCACAAATCTATAAATATATTATTAACAGGAATACGCTTACTAACCTATTATCTATAAGAATACTCTTACTCTCTTAAAAAAAAATTTTTTTTTGAAGAGTCAAAACGTGATTTAAATAAAGGATTTCATACACTACAAGGCTCAATAGTTGAAGTTTCTCCAATTTCCAAAAGAGTTCACCTACAAAAAAAAAACTATTGAAATTCACAACATATTTAAACAATGAATACAAACATAAAAATTTTTGAAATAAAAAAGGTGGGTCATCATTTAGTTTGCATCTATCGTAAAAGTCGTATGTCGCTTAGAATAGTATTTCCACTGTCTCTATATATAGGATTCGATACTTCTCCCAGTAAAACACCTCCTTGCTATTATTGTTAATTATTCACATGAATATCACCTACTTTAGTGTGTTTGTCATATAAGTCGTATATCATATAGAATAATATTTCCAATATCTCGATATATGGAATTCGATGATTCTCCGTATAAAACACCTCCTTGCTACTACCGTTAATTATTCACGTTAATATCACCTGCTTTGGTGCACAGACTATACATTTGTTACATTACGTATTACAACCAAGAGCAATTGCAAGTACTTTTGCAACTAGATTCACATGTTTCTTCCTTGTATTGGGTTTTGCACTCTCATGTTTTGCTGCAAATTGTTTCGTAACTTGAGTTTACTGGAATAGTTTGAGTGACCCTTCTATTTGGACTCTCGAGGTTAAAAAATTTAGAATTGCCACCCTCAACTTTTGGAATGTCAAAAAAACAACAAAAAATTTGTAAATTTGCTCAACTTATAGTACAATATTTGCCTCCCAATACAATTAGTGAAAACATTAAACAATTAAAAAAGGTATTGGATTTAATCAATTTAGAAGTCTATGCCACTTAGAGGAGAAATCCTCCCAATTTTTGAAGCTAAAAACGTAAAACTAAAGATAACATCAATGACCATACAAAAACTTGCTCATGTTCATACGGCGTCCATATTGTAGGCAACAACAAAAACTCACAAAAAAAAAAAAAAAAAAAAAAACCCTTACCAAACTAAACATATGTATTCGATCTGCCACAACAGATGACCTGCTTTTTCTCCAATACACGGATTGAAAAGGGAGCAAAGAGGAGACAAACTTGATTGGTAGCTGAAGCCTAACTGATTGGACAAAAATACTTAACATACTAACATACAGACACACATATGTATTTTATTTTGGTAATTCATTGTTATACAAAGTTAATTACAACAGTGTTATATCTTCATATGCATGTCCTATATCTATATCTGACCTGTAAACTGAAACTTTGCATTTTCGAAATGCTAATTGCTTCCAAGTGATGAATGACCTTATGACAATGATTCCCCTCCCAACAACGGCAGCAATTACCTTCTCTCTACCAGTTAGTATGAGCATTCTGATTCTGGTGCCACCAGATTCAGCACCAACTACTGTGCAAAAGAATCATGCTTAATATGCGCTTTGATTCATTGCATTATGGAAGTTCAACTGAATCATGACTTTCAATTCTGCGACTCATATTGACTCCAGTCAGCTAAAAATGGTTTGAAGGTCATCAATACTCCGATTGCCTCAATTACATTCAAGATGAAGAAGACTAAGTGTACACCTGCATTGAAGACAACAAAATTGGTGAACAGAGGCTTTTATACACAAATAAAAATTGGTGAACAGAGGCTTTTATACAAATAAAATGTTCATGCATATATTACTATGTTGAAAAGTTCAAGGGATAACAGTAGCAAAGCCAATAGTAAGCAGCTGCTAAGACTTTCTAGGAAGAACAAAGGCATAGCCAAATAGAGTTTACACTGCAATAAGCAGCTGCTAAGTCAATGGTAAGCCTTCTAGAATTTACATTGCAATAGTAAATATCTAGAACAATACAATTCCAAACCTTGCTTGTTGTCTGGCTTTCTTTTTTGGGTGGGAAAATACAAAAGAAACGAGTAAAATGAGGTTGAGAAAGCAGCATCATTACACAGTAGACAAAGTATAATTGATACTCGCAGGCAAATAATGTGACTCCTTTTATTATCCCATCATTATGAAGAGAGAATACTAGCACCCATAAGGCTGCTGCTTCTGATTGAGAAGATTCCTGAAATCTGCAAACAGAATGATCAGATGTCCATTGTTCCATATGAATTAGTCCTTTCAACTAGGGGTTTTCCCATAGAGATAGAGAGAACTAATGATTTCGGCCAATATCTAACTAGCCACCGGGTAAATAATCAAACTAATGACATTCAAAACTCCGGTGAACATTTCCTTCATCTGGTGCATTCAAGGTCCTGTTGCTGCAAAACACTCATGGAGAACTTCTCCTTAACATTCATCGTATCTTCTCAGGAAGCTTTATAACAGAACCAGATCTAGCAGCCTTACTTTCTTTTCTTTACTTTTTTTTAATAATCTTGTTAAGATGAGAATTTCAATAGTAACAATAGTTTCAGCTCGCATCCAAGATTATGATTCCAAATGGCTTTGCCAGAAGGAGCAAACAGAGTTTGAGCCTAAATTTCAATTGGAACTAAACATTCCAAGCATACTCAAATCAAAGCATTCCAAGATTATCTGTTTTAGTGGAAAACAATGAATTGCAACATGTGAGTCCAAAGATTATGCACAGAGATGGAGATGCCCATTTGTCCTCTACAAACAAGAGGACATTGTCTCAGACAACTAGAAAACTGAATTTTCTTGTATTAGATCAAACAATACAAAACCAGCAAAATTTGCAAATGTCCTACCTGGAAAGAAGGCAGCATGCTGACGCTTTTGTGCCCAAGAAAGGCTGCATAAATTGAGAGAACAAGATTGATTCAAATGTCAAAGGATGCTGAAATTCATTACTTTGTGCAGAAAACAACTATTATCAAGGGCAGACCAAGTGCAGAGGAATATAATAGTGCTAATAACTACTAACAGTATGCAGATTTATTTTATTGAGCAGTTGTTTCTGTTTATAAAATTAATTAAGTCCAACAGAAAACAGAGTGACCTTACCACCGCACTTAGGTCTAACCCTTAGATGGTATATATTTGTATTTGAATTATTCTCTGGCACCCAATGAAAGTAAAGAATAAGTAGGTAATGGAGTATAAGTTGTCAGAGGTAATGGGTGCACCATTTGATTCCATTCTGTTTTGGGAGGACATGGTAGAGAGGGGTCTGAGATGGAAACTGAATCTTAATATGGCTTGAGTAACAACTTCATGTCATTCAGAAAGTAACTGACAGTCATGATATTCACTGACTTTGGATTCAATATGAAAACAAGGAGATTTTTTGTATGGCCAAATATCTTTTATTTAGTTTTGCATGGTTCAGTAAGAAATGCTGATTATTCTACTAGAAAATATTTTATGGTCAGCTGACTGGAGCCTTTTGACATGATTGACAGTTCAGATCAGACAAACTGGCAGAAGCTGATGCACCATGAAAATGTTTTTTGTATCAGATAAAACAATAACTGAAAAATTGATCTTAAATAAGAGACACTTACATTGCACCTCCACCAGCTGGACCTACAGCTTTGAACAATGACATTGCTGTCATGGCAATGCCATTAGCAGCACCTCTTTGGTGTTGTTCCTGTGATGATAGTATCAGGCATAAGTTAATAAAAGTCTGAATAAGCATGCTTCTTTCCTGACACACAATGAAGTATCAGAATAATAGAAATCTGAGACCAAGTGAAAAAGAAATTACCACAGCATTATTCTGAAGTATGAACAAACCAGTGATAATGGAGGTCTGTAACAGTGATATTTTACCAGAAAATGTTAGGACATGAATAGCAAGAACAGTGAAAATTCAATATTTTGAATTTGATCAAATATTTTTGTCAAAAGAAATGAATCACACAAATACATGTGAATTTGTTGGCCATTTTCTAAATTAATGTACTATTATCTTCTGACTTATTAATCAGTAAATTAGTCGGTTCACATAAGTATCTAAATTGGTCCTGAAAGAAATTTAACATGTGAGATACTAGCAATCACATCAATCTATCCTGTTGTCCCTTCCATATCATCTCTATGATGAATGATTGGGTAATCTTGTTTCCCCGTACATGTCATCCTAGGTGTGAACTTGATGGCCATTTTCTAAATTAATGTTTTATGGTCTTCTGATATATTAATCAGTAAATTAGTGGGTTCACATAAGCATCGAAATTGGTCCTGAAACATACTTAACATGTGAGATACTAGCAATCACATCAACCTAACCCATCATCACTTCTATATCATATTTATGATGAATGATTGGATAATCCTGGTTCTCTTTACGAGTCATCGTAACACTCCCAGCTAGATCTTCATATCATCAAAAATCTACATTTGCCCATCATGGAACCTTACTTCCTTGAATGACCATTTTCATGCAATAGCATATCAATGGATGGAAGCCTATAAATGCATCCTAAACTTAATTGTATTATTAGCTCGTATTAGTATTTGACATCATCTGTTCCACAAAGGACTTAGGTTTATGATTTACCTACAGGTAAGCATGTTCAGATATATGTATCAATTATACAGAAAGCATTTGATTAACGGATAGAATTTCGTGTCTCTTCCCTTTGAGTTGATTGCTGGAGGATTATCTATTTAAGTCTGTTTCTTAAGAAAGTTAACATCTCTTCTAGAAAAAACACAGAGTTTTCATTCTTTTACTGATTCTTGACTATGTATCCTACAATTCCCAAATTCATCTTCACAGAAAGACTTTTCTTTCGTGGATGCTGCTGCAGCCCCCCATCCTTCTACTGGAGGAAAACAGCACACCATGCTCGAAATTAACCAACCTTCTTGCTGCTCCATCCTATGGAGCCTGGAGTACTAAATTCTTTGCTACTATAGTGTCTGATACGCATTTTAAAGCTAAAGTCTCCTGGTCATTAGCTAATGTATCTTGTCACCATCTGTCAAGCCTCTCTCCATGCACCGAGGGGAGACTCCAAACCTTTCTTTACTTCTTTTTTTTTCCCTAAAATTCTGAGATGAGTCACTCCCTTTGCCTCCAAATTTGCTTTAGTAGGGAAGTAACAATAGAAGACTAAATCTCACCAAGAAGAAGGATCCCACATTGTTTTGGTGAAAGGAGTTTATAACATGCAGGAATTTAAATGGTCACCAGGCTTCCACAACAATGTCAAGACTGCTAAAGACAACTGTCTGGGTGAATATGTAGACTTTACCAATCCTTTCTTTGAAAATCATGTATTTTCTCTGACATGCCCTATAGTGGCCACCAAAAGTGGATGCAGCTCCCTAATTCCTAACCCTAGCCCTTGTGACAAGAGTCTGTATTGAGGTAGATTTTTATCCCCTTTGCCTGAATCTACAATGGTTCATTTGGATGTCACGAAAAATTTCTTAGAGAGTGAAGATTTCAGGTAAAATGTGTCCTATGAAAGTGACATATCCTACAGTCCACAAAAAGTTTGGCAACATTGAAATGCAAGCCAAGACTCAAAAAATTGCTCTACTAAACAGCCAGATTGTTGACACTCCTGATACAGCTCCAACACATGACCTGATCATGGATATGATGGAGGCCCTTCAAACCCAAAATGACCATACAAACCACATGATTTTCTTTGACGGAAACATGCCAGGAAATTACCCAGCAGTGAGAATAATATAGAAGACCAGAAACTACAGGGATCACTTAACAAAGGAAGCTTTCAACCTGAGTTCTTTAAGTGATACAATAGCATAAAGCTTTCTTTTCCTATAATTGAATAAAAAAATGCACTTTCAAACTCAAGGTATGGAGTTTGACTATGTAAAAGTTTGGCCCAATTCTCTAATTGTAGAGGTCATCATGGTGCCTTCTAAATCATTAACAGGAAAAAAATGAGGCTGATTCTAATAATACTGCCACAATAAGATGTAATACATTATAGAGGTCTCCTCAAAATTCTCTGAAGACTTTCATATGGATTGCAAGGTGAATCATATAGTCCCTTCCGGTGGTGGTTGTCATTCATAGCTATGAGAGGTAGCACTATATATCCCTCTGACTTATAGTTATTTTGAAGTTTGTTGATGGAACAGATGGTGTATGCCAAAGGCCCCATCATGAACAAAATATAGAACATTTAATGAGAAAGTTCTTGATCTTTTAAAATTAGCACAGAGATGTGTTCTTATTATTGCAACTCTTTCAGTACAAAACCTAACTAAGCTGTTGAAAACTAGCAGAAATGACCTTTGCAAATCATGAGTGCTGCAATTTGTAAAGTGGACGGGAGTGTGAGATTCTTGACCATCAAAAAAGTTCTGAAATGATTATTTTCATAAGTCATATTTGTTAGGAGAATATAAGTATTCTTGTAGATAATAAATTAATAAGGGTATTCTTGTAAATAGTTTGTTAGATTTTTACTCCTATAAATGCTAGTTGGTCACTCATAATACAGTGACTAGATGTTTTCCCTCCAAGATACCTGCTCTCATGATATCAGAGCTAAAGTCCTAGTGTTAGGGTTAAACATCTAGCAAGAGTCTTGTTCACGCGATATTGCTCATCGCGTTATTGTTCATCGCATATTGTTCACGCGACTGCTCAAAAAAAGGTACTATTCACAGATACTGTTCATTGAGTACTGTTTACTCATACTGTTCAAAATACTGTTCATCGCTATTGTTCATGCGCGCTGTTCATCTCGAGTTTTGACCCTTTTTTTGGTTTGAAGTGTTATTTGCTATGGCTGAAAGTTTTACTCATGCGGTTACCACTAACCAAGTTGAATCAAGTTCTTCAGCACATGGGTCCCAGAAGACTTTTACCATATCCGAGAAAGATTATGTTAAATTCCTACAATACCAAACTACAAATCACGCATCTCTTCCCTCTGCTTCTTTAGCACAAAAAGGTAATGACTCATGGATTATTGACTCCGAGGCTACTGATCATATGTCAGGTACCTCTAAAAATTTTGATAATTTCAAGAATCTACTTCCTTTCCTCATGTTATTTTATCTGATGGATCTACCACTAAAGTTAAAGGACTAGGCACTGTAGAAGTTAACCCATCTCTTCTACTTCTTCTGTTCTTTATGTACCCAATTTGCCCTTTAATCTAATGTCTGTTAATAAGCTCACTAAATCTCTACAGTGTTCAGTTACTTTTTCTTCTGATTTTGTTGTCATTCAGGATTTGAAGACAAAAAGAACGATTGGTGGAGGGCATGAGCATAATGGTCTTTATTTTCTCAACTTCAATGGTCCGATTGCATGTCCTGCTACTGTTTCTCCTCTTGAAATTCACTGTCGTTTGGGTCATCCATCTTTACATAATTTGAAAAAGTTGGTTCTTACTTTGAGTCAGTTGTCTTCGTCAGAATGTGTTTCTTGTCAGTTAGGAAAGCATCATCGTGTTTCTTTGGCTCCTAGAGTCAATAAACGGGTTTCTGAACCCTTTATGCTAGTTCATTCTGATGTTTGGGGTCCTAGTCGAGTTGCTTCAAAGTTAGGTTTTTAATATTTTGTAATCTTTATTGATGATTTTTCAAGAGTTACATGACTTTATTTAATGAAAGATCGTTCAGAATTATATTTCATTTTTTTGTGCATTTGTTACAGAAATAAAGAATCAATTTGGTGTGCCTGTACATATACTTCGCAGTGATAATGCGAAAGAATATTTTTTCACTCCTTTTAATATCTTTATGATTAAGTCCGATATTATTCATCAATCCTCTTGTTCTCACACTCCACAACAGAATGGAGTTGCTGAAAGTATAATTGGACATTTAATCGAGGTTGCTCGGACACTTTTTTTGCACATGAATGTGCCCAAACAATTTTGGAGTGATGCAATTCTCACTGCATATTATTTAATTAATCGCATGCCATCTAATATTCTTGGAAGCCAATTATCTCACTCCGTTCTTTTTTTTATGAATCTGTGTTTAAATTACCTCCTCGTATTTTTGAATGTGTGTGTTTTGTTCATCAGCTTGCTCCCGGAGTGGATAAATTAGATCCTCGTGCTATTAAGTGTGTTTTCTTAGGATACACACAAGCGCAAAAAGGGTATAGATGTTACAGTCCAGTTTTAAATTGATTTTTTACTTGTGCTGATGTTATTTTCTTTGAATCCACTCCATATTTTATGAAACACGATATGCCTTGTGAGTTAGACCAGTGTCCCTCTTTTTCCTCTCCTGTTTTACCAATCCCTTCCTCTTTATTACCTGAGTTATCTAATCCACCAAATTCTATAGCTCGATTATCTCGTCCTAATTTTCAAATTTATTTTTGTCGTTCCATGGTTAAGCAAGTTCCTGATATGCCATGCACTTCACCAATTAACTTTCAATCTTCAAATCCAGGTATGACGCCCTCTTCTGAGTTAGATCTTCTTATTGATTTACGCAAAGGTAAGGTATCGTACTTCTCATCCTATCCCTAATTTTGTTTCTTATTCTCGTCTTTCTATGTCTTACTCTTCTTTTGTTGCTTCCCTTGATTCTGTCTTCATTTCTAAATCTATTACCCATGCGCTTAATCATCCTGGTTGGAGATTAGCTATACAAGAAGAGATGTCTGCTTTGGAACAAAATGGTACTTGGGAT